TATATGGGTTTACGTATGCAATTTTAAGTGAATTGTTTCAATGATTCACATATGAACCTTCATTTATCATATTCGCACAAAATCTATGTTTTTTTTATCTAAACATCCCAACAATTTCGTATTCAGATTTTTTTTGGACAAACATAACTGTGCATCTGATGATTTGGGGGAGGCATTGGGTGCGTCGACTGACATAGCATGACACTCGATACCTGCTATATGATTACCAGTATATATATTATATGATGCGTATTGAAGAGATATGTTGGGTTAGTAACAAAGCCAAATTATATACAAAGAGTAGAAACCGGGAATTTAAAATTAATTATTTAATCTTTTTTTATATTAAAATTTTAGAAAATTATATATTTAATCTGTTCCAAAATAAGTGCCTATATTTTTTGTTTTAGTTTGTTCCAAAATAAATTATTACTTTTTCATTCTGACTTAGGGACTATTTGACAGTTACAGAATGGTTTGGTACAAAATGATTAAGTGGTAAGAATGATTAGGAGGCTCTCATGATATATGCAAAATGAAATATAATTGTTTACAATGAAATTAAGGCTCTGAATGGTTAATAGATACCTATGATACAAAATCATTCAGAGGGTTTTAGAACCATTAAGAGAATGATTTTTTTTGGCAAACAAGATTCATCTTTTAACGATTCAGAGGTTGCCGCTTAATGAAACTATTAAGAGGTAAACAAACAACCTCTTAATTATAAGAAGAAAAAAAATTACTCTCTCTACTATTAGGGGTAAAACTGTTATTTAGTTAATTAAAAGTGTAATAACTACAATTTTTTAAAATGATATGTTTTTTATTTATTGTGGACACTTATTTTAGACAGGGATTAGTTAAGAGCAAATTGGATGAAAAGTAACGTACTTTCATTTGATTTATATTTTGGATAACACACTTTCAAAACTTTTATTTTGGTACCTAAGATGTAAACTTTTAACATTTAAGTACACGGATAACAGGTACTTGCATTAACCAGTTATTATACGATGTGACGAGTGATGCGGTATCCAAATCAATATTATTTGTTGGCGTGGTTAGTGACATGATTTTTTATAATCTAAAATTATTATTTTTTATGTAAAATTAGTTTTCAATCGGTTACTCGGGTACTTAAATGTTTAAACTGTACATTTTAAGTAACAAAATAAAAGTTTTAAAAGTACATTACCCAAAATATAAATAAAGTTAAATTATCTTATTTTTCCATGCAATTTGCCAATTAGTTAATAAAGACGTAATTAATGAATTAATAATTAATATTTTTTATAATTAAAAAATATTTATTTGTTTGTAACGTTACACATGGAAGGAACTAGGGGTGCTCAAAAACCCGATGAACCCGATCAACCCAACCCGAATTTTTAAAAAAAACACCCAACCCGAGGTAACCCGATGCATGATCGATAAAAAAATTAGCCAACCCGACCTTATTGGGTTGACATCGGGTCAGGCCCAAAAAAACCCGACCAACCC